TACCTACTTAATCAAGCCTCAGAGGATTGAATGCGTCCAAGACTAAGCAACAAATGTATTGCTTGAAAGGGAGCTGGGATTCTACGACGTACTAGTACATCTAAACGATAAGGTACAAGCTGGTGATGACACTAGGTCCAATAAAGAGACCAAACCAAAACACAATGTTCCCCAACGTATCTCTCCCCTTCATGAACTTCGTCTTACTGAACGCTGCCAGCGGCAGCTGCGTCAACTGGAATGTAAACAGATACCCCCTAACCTTCTTGAACAAACAGAACATGAGAACCTCATGCACGATAGCGCTAAGCAAGAAAGTGAAGAAAGTTGCCTGCATCTTCGATAGATGAAAGAACGATATCGACGAGTGGTAGACATGACGAAGCAGGAAGTTGTGGACGGGTCGGTTCCAGTCGCGAGCGTATTGATCAAAGGATACGGAGTTCCACCATGCGCCGTAGAAACCGCGGTCGGCGAATCGTGTGACTTCTGCCAATACGTTGAGGAGACACTCCCAGATGACGTACCAGCTGAGAAGTTGTTCGAGGAGAAGGGGGAAGAGCATATCGGATACTATAAGGGGAGATCATTAGCGGTATATTCGACGGTCTCATAGTAATGTAGCACTTACCAACCCATGGAAACTCTTTCCATCGCTCGTCGAGTGACATGCCAGCCTCTTTGTGTCGCATGGTCTCTACTACTACAGGGTAGATGTATGCTTGCGAGATGATGATCATAATCCAGATGACTCCCAAGGTGGCCGCTGACTTTTCCGCCACATACCACCAGTTGATGCGTTCCTGCCTGGGGTACTCTAGATCGTAGACGAGTGTGGGAAGGCATGCCCACTCCACAAAGTTATAGAATGTTAAGTTGTTCGGGTAGACGTTATCGGTTGTAGTGCACTTTCCACGGAGCTCTTCATCGAGAATTGTAATCTCAGTGTTGAGCACGCGTCGGAAGGCTTCAATCTGCTCCGAATCCAGCGGGTTGCCAGTTTCAATAGCTTTGCCGATAGACGCAATCTCGGACTCTTCTTTCGATAGATTAGTAGAATACTTTGGCCCAACACTTCCTCGACGCGTCAACTCGCCTTGGTCCGAGTTATCAAGACCGGAAGCAGTCAGCGCCTCAGTCGGAGGATTTGTTTGGGTCGGGCCCTCCTGCGCTTTGATATCATCGAGTTGCCGTAGCTTTTCACGTAGCAGATTGCGTCGTCGATACACTCGCGATACTATTGATGGTTAGCTCAGCTCTCCTAATGAAGTGCGGATCACATACAGTAGCCGTTGTAGAAAGAGTAGGCGTGTTGCTTCATTAGCAGCACGAAGACGTGTAGGACGATGAATACGGTGTGAGTCCAAGGCCAGTCTCGCCAGAAAGTAACCCATATGATGGTGCAGGTGAAGAAAGTCTGCCACAAGGACTGTATGAGCCAGCCCGAGCCGTTCCAAGTCAGATAGTCGTTGGCAATGGCCTTGTGCAGGAAGAAGCCAAAGCTGGTTGCTAGACACATTGCGACATCAGTCGTCAACATGACGAACAAGTCTTTGTCGATCATCAAGTGCAGAATCTCTGCATCTCCAAATACGGAGCCTTTCGTCCTGTAGTTACCTGCTGCTATTCGCGCGAGTAACAAAGCCATCGCAATCCAGAAGAGTGTGAAGAATCCGTGGAATGGGGAGTGCGCCGCGGACGCGTTTTGGCGATCGAACGTGGTAAATTGTTGTGTGAAGACAAGATCGCGCGGTTTCCCTTTGGTCTTCCCATTGAGCTTCTCGGCCTCTCGCCGCAGACCTGACTGGAGAACCTCTTGGAATACCGGATCTTTGGCAGTGAAGGTGTATTCGCCTTTCTTTCCCGATTGCTCCAAAACAACCTGGATGCTCTTCCTACGGCCTCCGGGTTTCTCGACCAACTGCGTTTCCGAACCACTGTCATCGGATGGTATTGCTGTCGTGCTTCGACTTCGCGAGTCTGCTGTCTGCTCATCGTTCGGGCTCAACGTTGTTGCGCCGTCCACATCCAGTGTTTCCGATGCTGCGTTGGCCGTCCACGTGTCATGGCTACCGAGCGCGGGTCGCGTCGAGAGTCCCTGCAATACCTGTGCCATTGCTGATTCCTCGTGCGCCAGCGGTGTAAATTGTTTTGTTGAGTTTCTAGCTTCCTGTCTGTGTCGTCCTCAATAGTTTGCGATTTGGAGATGGGAACGCGGTAGTCTGAGGATATATACCGGATGTCCGTGGCTGGTAGGGAGACTTGTGGCGTGGGTCCCTTGTAACGGAATCATCGGAACAGGTGGATGTTGCGAGCTCACGGCCAGATGTAAGACGACGGCCGAGCTATGATAAGATGAATCAGAGCAGCTGACCGCCTATCCTCCGAAAGAACAGATGCGCGTGAATGAGACGCGCCGGGAGATTGATTTTGGTTGAGGCGACGAACATGATGTAATGCCGCGCCCTGCATCGCGGAAACTGATCCGTTGCTGCACTAGCCACGTCACGTGAAGCTCCAGCCACCCGCAAGGCTGAATTGCCCGGGCGATCACCCTTGGCTGTTCCTGTCATGCCGTGCCATCGCATCCACTGCATCGTTCCACTTTGTGACGCGACACTCTCTCGAGCCGCTTGCAGAGCCGAACTACCCGCAGACTGCTACCTGAGGCACAGCCCGGTCTTTTTTTTGGTTGGGGGTCGGCAACAGCGTTGGCCCCGATGTAACCCGCAACCAGCCTCCCCGTCTCATTTCAACATATTGCGGACATGACCTCCTACGAGAAGCCCAAGCCCATATTCCTTTCTCATCAAATGCATTGTGCTCGGGGTCTGCCAGATATTATGTCTACGCGCTGAGGCGTTGACACCCAGGCTTCAAGGCGTCCACAGGATCTCGCGCACTCTCGCTTCGATCATTCTGGCACGGTAAGGCGCCCGACAAACGCTTTGAGAGGCTTAGCGACGCCTCAACTGCCCCTGACTTAATCCCAAAAACGGGAGAAACGGGAAGGCTGCAGGCTGTGAGAAGGCGGAGCACCAATGGAGCATGCATTTGTTATTGCTGAAATACTCTTGAGGTCGCCGCGAACCGTGTCTCGCGTTTTACCGTCAGTCGAACGCCAACTCACCTCCCATTGACTTCAGAAATCCCACTTAGGGACTTGATCAGCACCAACACCCTTTTGCCATGGCACCCAGACGCAGCGGCGGTGGTGGCACCTATTACAGCAATGCTTCATGCACGCACGCCTTTACTACACCGTACGCTCAAGCCGCGCTTGCATTTGTGGTGCTGTTCCTGGTTCTGTACACGGTCATTCTCATATCGACGTTCTTTATCCGCAAGAAGAGCGGTGCCGGAAAGAAGTTGATTGGTGCGCCTTTCGTTGTAGCCCTTTTCCTCCAGGTCATGTAAGGACAAAGTATCTTTCCCAGGCTTTAGAAGTGCTAACATGCTCCAGCGCACGTATCTTGAGTCTCGTAAGCCAAGTCATGGCACAGTGCGACAATATCAACTACACTGATTATTGGAATATCAACGTTGCCTCCGCCATCATGAGCAGTTTGGCCAATGCTGCGCTGCTGTTCGTGTTCGTCTACGTCCTGAACTCCATGCTGCACAAGCAATTTGGGAACATGTCATCCGGTTCCAAGACCGTACTTCTGATTACTATTGGCGTTGCGTATGCTGTCATACTAGCAGATGTTATCATGTTTGCCTACGTCGCATTGGCGGATAACTCCCTGGAATCCAATTGGGACTTTGCGTTACTAGTTTCGAATGGTCTCGATCTTGCCTACGACATTGTATGGATGATCGTTGTTATTATTTCGGCGGCTATGTCTCTTTCAAACGTTTCGGCACTGAGATCAAGACGCTTACCCGGAGGTGTAAGTCCATGGCAGCTACTCTGTACTGGTACATTTACTAACATCCCCAGGACCTCTTCGGCTGGGTTACCGCCCTCTACGTTACCCTATTTGTGAACGCCTCGTTGGGGGTAGTCTACTCATCCAGTATCTACTGGCCCGTAGTACCTTCCCTTGGCGCAGCGCTGGCCTTGTCTTACATCATTGGCTTAGCCAAATGTCTGGCTTTTATAACGCTACTGGGCATTGCCAAACACGTCTCCTGGAACCAGACGATCGAGAAGACCGAACAAACTTATGCGCCCGTTACGCAACAGCAGGTCACGTACGGCTATGGTAATGGGCAACAGGATTACTACCAACAGACACCCGAACTTGTACATGTCAAGTAGGCGGAGGGTAGCTGAGGGCGCTCGATGAAGTCACACGTCATTTTTACGCTTTTTCTTGCATTGCCATGCTGTTTCGCTATATACCCAGGGCCTAGCTTCAGAACATAATGTCTATACCATTCACATCCTGCATGATGCGCCAGACCGATCTTACTCTTTCAAATTTTCTGCACTGTATGGTCTCCCAACTATCCGGTGTATCATTGTGCGAGGCTCGGCCGCAAAAACATCGAAGAGAGCTGCTTGCCCATTCATTTTTTGTAGCACGTGTCATTGTCAAGGTACGATCTGTGGAGATGAAGAAGAGCTCGTCTCTTTCTTCGGCCGACCGGTGTGAGATGGTTATTCGATGCGGAGGCGCGGCACTGAGGGATCGAAACAGGCAGGCACACCTGATGAGGGCCACGTGTACCTGCACTGGACCCAAGCATTACGTAGATGGTGACCATCATCATTTCTGTAGGCGAAACAATTGTCGCATATCTTTGCCTGCATTGCTCACAGCGCTGTACACCATCGCATGTGCGACGGCATCCTCATTCGCTCTAATACCCATGGCAAGGCGTTCACAGTATGCAGCCGCGCCTCAGCCGCAGCGGGTCATGCAGGCACTCAGCCTTCCTGCGAAGCCTGCTTTCCCACTCGCTCCGCCCTTATCTTCGCGCTCAATCCTAGCATCATCGCAATGCGACACTATCGAACGGACAAGTAATGCGCACGCAGCAAGTATCCTACGATGGCCGAAGTCATAGGCCTCGCAGCTAGCATCATCCAGATCGCGGGGGCTGGTGCCAAGCTCAGCGTCGCGTTGTACAACTTCACGAACTCAGCCGCGCGGGCAGACCAAGACGTCAAAGACATTGCCGATGATGTGAAGCTCACATCGAACGCGCTCGAGAGCGTAGGAAGAGTGTTTGAGTCTGAGGAGGCCGGATCCATCGTGTCGAAGAAGGCTATCCAGGACGCTAACAACATCATCAAAAAGTGCCAAAGCGTCTTCGACGAAGTATCAGAGATAGTAGAGAAGAGGAGAAAGACTGCAAAGGATGGAAAGAAAAGCTTGAGCGTGATGGGGAAGCTGGCCTGGCCGATGAAGGAACAGCGGGTCGAATTGAACCAAAGGAGACTTGAGAGTTTGAAGAACAGCCTTGTGCTTTTGTTGCATGTCTTGCAATTAGCCCAAGGTCAGGCGCGAGGGTGAGCCGAGCTGATACACTACCATGCATAGAATGCAGCTGACAATAGCTACAGAAAAATGGAAAAAGGTGTCTTGGATGAAGAGCGTGAGAAGATCCGCGAACTGCACCAGCGACAGCAGGACTCACTCAAAAGCCTGCAAGCTCTCGAAAACAGATTCTGTCATATCGCAATCAATGACGAAGAAACCCTTCGAGGATCAAGCGTCGCCTCTCGTGTTCCAACTTTGGAGCTTATGACCAGCGCTCCCGTTGTGGAGCTCCCTCCGCTAGAGAAGCCCTCAAAGCCACAGAAAGACTTCATTACCATTGACCTTTCAACCGCAGATGATTCAGACACTTCTGATAGCGACGCTACGATGTCAGGCGATGACAATGAAGAGCAGATCTCGACCGAAGAACTAGCAAAAGCAGCGGACCACGTGAAGAAACTTCTGAAGCGCATCACAATGCTACAGAAGAGCTTTGGTGTCGACAAGAAGAAATATCGAAAGCGACACGTGCACAAGATGTATCAACGCTTCTGCAGAAAGTTCGAATCAGGTATCAAACCTTCGATGAAAGAGGCAGATTTCGGAGAATTTCGAGCTGGCGATTCTTTCGATTTGAACGACAGCAGGGGTACTTTGGAGTGCTTCGACTTTGACAGCTTTCTGACCGTTCCACGGGAGAATACGCCTTTCCCATTTCTTGATTTCAATTTCCCCGGAGGGCAGCACCCAGAGCCTCAGCAAGCACACAATGCCGAGGCGGTGCCATCGATGCAGAGCTCTCAGCACCCGCCTCTTACATACCATGATTTCATCGAACCAGTCCCGTCATCCTCTGCGCAAACGTCCCCTTGTCCTCCAGTGCCGCTTGTTAGTGCAGCCTCAGATTTCCCATTTGATCTGTCTGGTCAGCAAAAAGGACCTATCCACGATCAAGGACGGTCAGAACTGGTTCGGCAGTCTCCTGAAGCTTCGGCACAAATGTGGGCGCGGATGCAGAGACAGGCGCAATCTACGGCTCAACCACAGGCTCAAGCGCAGCAAGTACAAGCTCAGTCGCAGGCTGCAATGCAGCCAACGCCAGTAATGAAACAAAGTCTACCTAGCCCTGCTATGCCCGTGTTAAAAAGGCCTATGCTACCTCCTGTTTCTACGCCTAGTTCTAATATGCCTCCGCCTAGTGAGCCTATGATGCCTCCGCCGGATCGCCCACTTTCACCGGGATTCAACAGATGGCTCGAGAAAGTCTCTACGCCTAGCAATGCTATACCTCCGCTTAGTAGGCATATGGTACCTGGAACAAATCGCCCACTTGAACCGAGTGCCCCAGATTTACGTCCCGAATTACATTCCGAAAGACGGGCTCAATGGCATACAATGTTCTTGGACTATGGTGGGAAAGGTGGAAAAAAAGCAGCAGCTCGACGGAAAGCAGTTGCTCAACGGGAAAAAGATAGTGACAGCCAGTTGACGACGGATCGTGGACAAGTTGATACTAGTCTGTCTCAGTCGAGAAAGAAGGCACGTTTAGATCAAGACGCATCTCCATTTACTCATGATCAGCCGAGCACAGTGAATGCAGGGAGATTAGAAGCTGGCAATGGTAAACTTGTGCGTGGCCGGAAAAGAGGGTTGACGGAAGAGCAAAGGCGCCATGCTGCTGCAATGCGTTTGATAGGAGCTTGTCAGAACTGCCAAAGCCTGAAACTCAAGGTATCGTATATTCAACATGCTTTTCTACTTTTTACTAATCAGCCACAGTGCGATGTTAGCTATCCGTGTGGTAGCTGCATTGAGCGGGATGCTAAGCAAGAGGAGCTTCCCAGTCCAGCCTGTCGCGGCATTAAGATCGCCGACCACACTGAAGGCTTTCTTGTTACATCTGAGATCCGTAGACCACTGTCAGGCGTTTCCGTTCCATATATTCCATCACCAGGATACGCAGAGCCTGATGCCGACGACTCACCTGGAATGGAGAGCCTCCAGCCCGGCAGAGAGAGAAGAGCCTGCAGGAAGCGGCAGCGGTCTAGCTCTCTCGAATCTGAAGCAAGGCTCTCTTGGTCGTCTCTAGGTTCCCAACACTTCTCGCCCGATAATGCAGTGGGACAGGACGCGATCCAGTTTGACCCGAACCAAAAACTACATGTGAGGAAGGAGGGGGAGGAATGCGGTCCCGAGGGTTTCTCTTATATTTCTTTTCCGCTGGTCAAGAGTGAGGAGATGAGAGAGACCGAAACGGCCTCGAGTCCGGTGGACAGAGACATCGTCGACGTGCTACTCGATGAATGGACGGTACCAGTACATTGACGGCTACATGCCCCTCAGTCTTGTTTCAAGACTGCGCAACGGCTTCACATAGTTGTATCATTCCAAAACTATCTAAGCTGTGACACTCACGATGCACATCAACCGACTGCTCGTATACCCTCAGAGTATCATCACTCCACCACCGTAAACTTCACTTCACCCGCGCCCTGAAACTCGATTGTCGTACCTACTTCCAGACCTGCGCTACTCCAAGAAGCAAGGTAGTCCATAACCTCCTCGACCGTATCCTCCGTCCACCACCACGATCCGCCGAGATGGCAGAGTATATACTCCTTCCCAACCTCTAGCTCCAACCTACTTAAATTCCCGCCTCCGAAATCCAACTCTCGGTGCTCCGTATACGTTCCTTCGAATCGTATAAACTCGTGTCTTTCATTTTCGTAATGCTCTCGATATACATCTAGACAGGGTTCGAGCTTGCAGCGCGACGTTGCGTCAAGGATTGCCAAGTCGGATTGAAGAGACTTGACCCATGCGCGATCTGCATGGACTGTAAAGAGATACGCGGCGTCCGTCGAGAACGTGAGCGTGAAAGCGAGTTTCTTGGTGGGAGAGGAGAGAGAGTAAGTCGATGGAGCTGATAGAGAGACGGTGACTTTTGGTGTCTTTGGTCGCGAACTTCGGGTCTCGAAGATGATTGTGTCGTTGCCGTTGGCGGCCTGCCAGGATATAGTCGGTGTGGCTGGTGTAGGAAGTTCATACGCAGATAGCAAACCGCCCGGGCTTCTCGAAAGAGAAGTCGAAGTATTCACCGCGCTGACTGGCCAATGCGAAATTGGGGTTGTCGGTTTGAAGCACAGTCTGTACTTCCTATCTGGTCGGAGAGCAGTAGTAATGAACTGCATTTCGCAGGATTTACTGGGCCTCCCTGTCGTAAAAATGACTTCGCTTTGGTCTTCACGAAAGAGAACTGGCTCTGTGCCTTGGTGCACGACTTCAACTTCCTCACCCGTCTCGTTGTCGAGACACTGAATAAATTGGCTGGAGTTCATGGGATGGTAAAGCCTCGAGCCTGCGAGACCATCTTGGAGGTATATAACTCCCTCTTTGAAATTGTACTCTGCGATGATGAGGACTATGAAGAAGACGGGATCGTTCGAGAGATAGCATGTTCTTGTAACGAGAAGCTCGGCTTCAGCCCGCGGGCGAAAATCGGTCATTTTGTCGATGTTACCGGGTATCGGAATTACTATAGTCTTTCGATTGATTCCAAGGTCGTGTGTGACATGCGATCAGAGCTTGTTGTGGTTCAGAAAGTGTTGCAGTTCTTGACTGTGCCCGTCGGCTGATGTACACCAACTGGGCACTGACGTCAGAGGTCTCATCACTCAGTACCAGTAGAGGACGCTTCCACGCAGCACAATCAATTGAGCAACCATTAGGGCGTTCAAATCCAAATCCACTCTCTTCTCATCCTCTCACTTACCACCAGCCTACAGATCAACCCAACACTTAGTACACCTCTGCCTCGCCAAACCAAATGGCCTTTGTCCCTCCTCATCCTCCCAGTTCTCCGTACCAAACTCACTAACCACCCTCCCTTTAAACGGCTCCTCCACACCATCGCTCCAAAGATGCGTCACAGCATCCGCAATACACTCAATCTGAATACCTCTAAACCCCATCAACTTGGCCTCGCGCCGCAGCCAGCGCGCCGCGCCCGACGCAACACCCTCACCCTCATAGTCGTGGCGTGTAGACGTCGCGTTGCGCATCAGCACCTGGCCTGGTGCGGTAGCTTTCCACTCCGCTGGATCCCTCGGGTCGAGCTTCCTCAGAGCGCCGAAGAGCGGACCGAACTCTGGTATCGCTTCGTCTACCGGGCCCATCTTCGCGGGATCGAGAGGGACGAAGTTATCGTACGACAACGCTATGCTGACCAATGGGAAGTCCATCTGGCGGAGTAGTCTCAAGCCCTCTGCTTTCCGTCCTTGGGTTTGCTCCACGCTGTTCTCCTCCGGTTCGTTGACATCCCAGAACAGCTTCCCGCCTGCTTCTTTCGCCTCTGCGGTTTTGAATTCGTATTCCGTGTCGAAGACGCCGTAGGATAGGCCAGAGTCGATTTGGTGGGCTACGAGGTACTCGAGTTTACTGGCGCTTTCTAGTGTCCAGCGGCCGAGTGCTTTGTCGGGCCAGATATGCTGCCAGATCGTGGAGTGAAAACCGTGGCTGTGGGCTAGGATGGCTGTGGCCCAGGGGAGATGTTTGGGTCCCAGTTTACGGATCTCATAGCGAGGTTTTAGAGAGGAGGGGTTGGACGGAGTAGGCGTCTTGGTGTTTGTTGCTGGGTTGGACATGTTCGCGTGTGTGAAGACGAGAGCCTACTGGGACTGTCTCTTCAAGTAGAAGATGAAGGGGCTGTGTATTTATACGTTCCCACAGTAAGACACGTTGAGCTTCGAATGCTAGCTAGCCTACGCACTCTTATAGAGAATGAGGAGATGTCAAGAGCGACAACGTAACGGATAACTAGTACGTGAGTGTTAAATAACAGATAGTCCGGTGTGCAAGAAAAGGCGCGATTATAAATCGAAAGTTATGCGTGCGAGTGCGTTGGAGGGCGCGCTTCATGCATCAAGAGGGCTCAAGCGAATGACCCACGCATTCAGCGCAAATCGGCCAGCAAGGTTGTAAGCCTTATCCTAGGCTTCGCTTCTTCGTCCAAGAACGGTCCATAACGCGGGTAACAAATTTTGTGTCCAGACGCTCTTGCCCGCGTTGGGAAACCAAGATAGTGCAAAGCTGCGTGGCTTACGCGCCTGAATGCAGTATGTTGAGCCGACCCACACATGTTCCTCGTATAAAGTACTATACATCAAGATCCTTGTTGACCGCATGCTTTTAGCTAGGAATAGATTTGTGAAGGCCTCGGTTAGCGACAGACGTTACTGCTAATGATGATGTTGTAGGGCCTGCAAATTCGTCAAGAAAGTCTCTGTTCGGAATTAGTCATCAGATCCACGATACCCACGACAGTCAAGAGAAGTATGTTTCTTATTACAGGGCGCAAGGTGCACAGAGCTTTAGATTAGTCCTTTACCCTCCTGCAAGAGCGCAATTCCTCGCTCTTTTAACTTGAATTTCTGGATCTTTCCGCTCGCAGTCTTGGGGTAGTTGTCGACCCAAAAGACGTACTTCGGCACTAGTGCATACAGTCAGCATAGTTCCTAGGCGGGCCCGAGGCTTCGAATTCGATGTTCTAGGAGCTCATGGACTTACCTAAATGATGGCTCAATTTCTCCCTGTTCCAGTTTCGCACTTCGTCCGCGGTCACGTTCCCATCATCGCCAGCATGCGTAACTATGAAGGCTGCGACAACCTCACCGTACCGCTCGTCGGGTAGACCCACCACGCTAACCTCGCTGATAGCAGGATGAGCGAAGAGACAATTCTCGACCTCTAGCGGATGGATGTTCTCGCCCCCTTTGATGATCAGATCTTTTATCCTGCCAGTAATCTTGATGTATCCTTCTTCGTCCATGGACGCCTCATCCCCGGTATGCATCCATAGCATACCGTCTTCGTCCGGTTGTAGAACTTCCTCTGTGCGTGCTGTATCACCCCAGTACCCTTTCATGAGAAGGTAGCCTGACACTGCGAGTTCGCCGCGTTGGCCTACGTCAAGTGTACGCGACCAGTCTGACGGACTGACGACTTTGGCGCGAACGTGTGGAAGGAGACGGCCGACGCTGTCGATGCGCTTTTCGATGGGGTCGTCTGTGGTGGTCATGGCCGATACAGGAGAGGTCTCGGTCATGCCGTAACAGATGGTCAACTCAGTCAAATTCAGGTTCTTGTGTAGCTTGCGCATGAGTTCCGAGGGAATCGCAGAGCCTGCTGCGATGCCGGTACGCAGATATTGAAAGCCATCTTTGGGTACAGCACCGTGAGCCAGCAGCTCCAGTTCAGCTACGAACATGGTGGGGACGCCATAGAGGGCTGTGCACTTGTATTCGCGAACGGCTTCGAGTGTGGCGAGGGCATTGAAGGCTTCGGTTGGAAAGACGATGGCGCTACCGTGGGTAGCCGTGGCCATGTATCCTAGAATGCATCCAAAGCAACTACAAGGAGTCAGTTGATGTTGACGGTAGATCGCTACAAGGACTTACTGGAACAATGGAGGCGGACAGCACACAACGTCGTCTGGCGTTAATAGCATCCTATCGCCGATGCTATTTCCGTTGTTCAAGATACTCCTATGACTTAAGCACGCAGCTTTCGGCATGCTTGTAGTGCCAGACGTAAATTGGATGTTGACGATGTCATCCGGATGCAGGCCTTGATCTTCAAACGCATTGTCCTGCGCGCCATCCTCGAATACGTGCTCGTATCTCTTTAGACTCCTATAGTCTCCTAGATCCACCCTGCCTTGCACATTATTTACCAGTATGACATTCTTCAGCGACGGGACGAGTTCAGATTCGAGGGTCGAGCCCGCGAGGTTGGGTATCAAGTGCGTGAGGAGCGAGATATTGGATCGCGGGTCTTTACGCGGGAGGTTCGTTTCGGCTCCGATGATGAGATGCGCGGCATCTAGGTGATTGATCGCGTTGAGGACTTGGGGTGCGTTGAACGAGGGATTGAGTGGCACCTGTATAGCTGTTAGCTGCTAGTACCCATGCTTCTAGCCGGTTGGCTACAGACCAGTATCGCTCCAAGTTTGAACAGCGCGTACGTGAGCTTTCCCCTGGTCAGCAACTATACGTCTCCAAAATGCTTCCAACATACAGTAGCGAACTCAGCATTGTTTCCTAGACTGACGGCGACTCTTTCCCCCTTCTTCACGCCAAGCTTCTGCAGTCCCCTGGCAAGCCTGTTCGAGTCGCGATCGAGCGCATCGTACGTCAGGCGTATACGTTGATGGTGCGATATCACTCTGTATGAGTATCAGCAACGCGTCTTTACAGCTTCATCCACTCGGCACGCACGCGTTGCGGTCACCGTATTGCCTCACAACCTCGTCAAAGTGCTGTGGCACCGTCTTCTCGAGCAATGGCGGCTATGATAACGTCAGTCTCCACCATCACATCATCGGGAAGCTTGGAACATGCCTCATTGGGTCCGATGCTGTATGCTTGTGTGAGTAGACCGCGTCGTGCGCAGTAAGCAGGCCTACGGGACCTTGCAGCACGAGCAAAGAGCGACCGAAGCATCTTCAGACGCGGAATGCATCGGAGGTAAGGAAGGGTACTCGTGCATCGTGAGATATGCTCGTGTGGAGAATAGCTGATGTTAGTGAGCTTCGTTCGGAACTGAGCCGCGGGCCAGGTACGAGACTTGCGGGGTAGCTGTGGAGAGCTAGAGACACGCACGCGGTTGACGTCGGATAGCTGTCAGGGGTCTCCGCCCTCCGACTATGGGCTATGAAACGTAGGCGACATCACCAATCTTGGTGCACAGAAGATAACTTTGAACGTTTCCATACATGAGTCTACACAGAAGAGACCAGAAGCAAGGTCTTGAGATAATCCTAAACTCCAAAGAGATTACTCCTGCTACAAGCCAAATGCTACCGCTCAAACTCAAGCACTCTTCTACTCGCATCACTAGCCGACCGGTTCCTAGCCGGCTTGATCTCTTCCCCAGTACCTGTTGGTGACAGTAGGTCCAGCGGTGCTTCCCCCTTTGATGCGCCCACGTCCACCGTCTCGGCACCCTCCAGGAGGTCCAGGTCTTTCGCATCAACCTCCTCATCATCGTCATCATCTTCTCGTCCGTGTCGAGCTTCCTTATCCAGCTCCTTTTGAGCTTCATCATATCGCCTTCTGACTTCGGTTGCGACGCGCATTCCGTCGTTGACGATGTTGTCGAGCATGCCTCGTAGGCCCTTGCCGGGTGGCACAACACCAGCGCCAGCGCCGCCAACAACACCACCCAATCCTCCACCTCCGCCGCCTTGCCTTCCAGCGTTAGCGAAAGTGGTGAGGTTGTGGAAGCTGGATCCCGAGGACAGCGTCTCGTCGGCCAGGCGGAAGGACGATGAGAAGCCGACTTCGAAGAAATTCAGTAGTGCGTCGTCGGCGAGAATGACCATGCGGAAAGTAGGAAGCGTTATGTGAAGAGGCTTGTTCGGGTCAAGCGCAAGGTTTGCCGACTTTGCCTTGTCGTTGCGCTCTGCAACGTCTGATTCAGTGGTATGATTTGATGGTGTTGGCGACAT